GCCTCTGGGCAGCAGATTCTATGAATGCTAAGAGCTCTCGTGACTTTGGCATGGCCCATGCCACTGTGCCATGTTACATAGGTGTACGCGCACTTGTGTTGCCTCTCTTTATTATCTGTGCTGGCAATTGTTCAGTGTTTTTTTTATATGTTTAAAAAAATACATGGAAGTGCAAAATAAATGTGTAATTGTCCAGAAGTGTCTGCTGCCTGCTCCTGGTCTCTTTTCTGTTCTGCGTATCAGCAGCTGTGTGTGCTTCTTCTTTGTCTCCCTTGCAACTGAGTAAGAGTCACAAGTCACTTTGTAACCACAATGCCAGGAACTGCAGCAAAGGAAACCCTGAGATCTCTCAGGCAGCAGAATAGTTACCCCCAACAGAGCTGCTCAGTCTGGTTTAAAAAGAAGGAACCTCGGAGTTCAGAAATGTACAAACAGTCCCACATTATTGCTGCAGCTTTCCCCAAACATATCTAGCCTGCCTAATCCCATAGTCAACATGCTAGCCACAGCAAGGTTGGCACCTTTCTGACTCGCTATTATTCATGTAATCCAGACCTGAAGAACAAAAACGGTGACCAGCTGTTGCCAGTGAGCTTTCCTCTAATGCTTCAAGTATCTCACCCTCCTGGGGAATCAAGTGAAGTGCTGTGAAACTGCTCACGTTCTAACTCCCCCACAGCTGAATAGTTCTGGCTTCCTTCTGGAGCTGCCGCACTCAAGTGGTGGTAACTGTATAACATTTCATCCCAGGTTTTCAAGCAAAGCAATAGCGGTAGGTTGCATTTTGTTCAAATTCCCTCCTCTCTGTGCAAAGGCTTAGTAAATATGACTCGGACTATCCAACAAGTCTTTTGTAAATGAATTTTGCACACTGGGAGTTGTTGTTTGGCTCTTAAGCTATGGCTTGGCAGTAATCATGCTGGGTCATGTTCCCATGCCATCTTTCTGAATTACTTTGCTCCTGTGAGTTGCACTTCTACCTCCTTAAACTTAAAGGCTTGAAAAGTCTGTGATTTCTGTTTGCCAACAAGGGTTTGGAGTATTATTATTTATATTACTATATTGCCGAGCAGCCCCAGACATGGATCAGGACCCCGTTGTGCTAGGCCCTGCACAGGCACTGAACAAAAAGACAATCCCTGCCCCAAAGATGCTACAGTCGAAGTGTAAGACAAGATGGACACAGGCAGATGGGGGGCGGAGGGGAGGTACAAGGAAACAATGAGACATGGTCAGCATGATAGGCAATGGTCTCTGCACACCAACAGCCTAATAATTGTAGACATCCCTGGAAAGAGGAGTTTTGGAGAGATATCTGAAGAAGGGCAATGAAGTGTCTTTGTGGGTGTTTATACAGAGCTCTTTCCAAGCAGGAGGGGAGTGTGGGAGAAAGCACAAAGGTACTTTTTTGGAAATGTAACAAGTGAGTGATTGAGGCTGACATCATGAGCCAATCAGAAGGAGGAGCTGACCTCTCCATACTGAACAAGAAATTATAGGAGCCAGTCTTTCTCCCCCCTCCCCCCATTTTATTAATTTTTGTCTTCAAAACTGAAAAGCAGTGAGCAAGTCAAACCAGGATGGCCTGTGTGACGTGGGTTAGAGAAAGCCATTCCCAAGCACCATGGTGAGATTTCCAGATGGGGAGACCTCACCATCGTGGCATGGTGATATTTAGTCATCCCAGAAACTTATTTCAGGGCATGTTTAGAGGCTAAGATCACAAAGTGTTCAAGCAAAATCAGACCAGGTGGCAGCTTAGATATCTATCCAGTTGAAATGATAGTGTATTGAGGTATGATGTCTCAGCAGATTTCCTGGGATATGAGCCATGGGATAATGTATTTCATATTTAATCTCATTCTGGAAATGTTTATGCAACCAGAAGATTCACTAGCTCAACTCAGGGGATGAGGACTTTAGCCCTGCTCTGACTTGCATCCTGATCCATGAGATCAGGCTTAGGCAAGCCAATAGGGCTCTCCTGTTGATGGCCCTCACCCCTTAACATATGTGTTTATCACTTCATATGTTTCCTTTTTCCCCTGGGTAGAATCTACAGTGCGCTCCCATAGCTCAGATGGGGCTTTGGCTCACTGAGCCGTACCCTTGGCTTGGCTTTACCCTCAAGCTTTATTAACTTGCCCAGAGCTGTGCGTACATACTGGCTTTCCTAACTCTAACATTAAGCCGCAAACCTCACATTCTCTTTCTACCTTGGAGATCATGCAGACTGCATAATGGTCTCGTTTATTACTTCCTTACAGAGAAATGTATTGAAATGGTTGGTTGACCCATTCCTACTAGGCATCCTGCGGCGGAAGTCCATGCTTTCCCCCATGTTTCATTAGCTGCAGGACTCCTTTTAGCCTTTGTGTTTTCTTACAAATGAAGTCCAGATGCTGCTGCCTGTTGACTTGTTGTTTGTGTTTAATGAAGCCGCGAGGGGTCTGGGAGTGGGAGAGGATTTAGGACTAATCATCAAAACACTGGATCCCTCAGAGCTAAGTGAATCTCATCCAGCTTTTCCTTTCCTACTCCTTGGATTAGCTGGAGAATGGAATGAAATGGCTTTTCTCAAGCCATCTGCCTCCGCAGGCTTCTCCTGGCTCACAGGGAGCCTGAATGAATTAGCAAAGAAGTAGCCAGTGTCTGCTTACAGACAGCACCTCCTTGAGCATGGCCAGAAATAGAAGCATGAATCACTCTTTTTGCTGTCATTCATTGACACCCCCCTAACCCTCTTGCATTTTGTAGAAACAACTGATTCAAAAAGGAAAATAAAATAAAAAGATTGACCCCTATTTTTAGCCCAGCAGGAACTGTGCAGCCCTGTAGGCACTTTCTCCAGGGAGTTCTGGCTCCATTCTTGTGCTGAATTCGTAGCTCTTTTCTTGTTTGCATAGCTCTTTATTCCCAGCCCACTTCTTCCTGGGGGAAGCAGTGGTGCCCTGGGACCTGCAGATCAGTCCGCTTAGCTTCAACAGCTAATAAATCATGAAAACAATGCAATAGACTCTGTTTGTAAATAACTGGCCTCAGCCAGCTTTTCTGAAACTAAGTTAGTTGTCTGAGGTCAAAGCTGGCCTGGGGGGTAGGGCTGTCAAGAATGTATAGTCGGCTCCTGGGCAACTCCCAGTTAGATGAATAGATTATAAAACCAAAAGAGGCTATTTTTATCATCTAGTTTGGCTTCCTGCGTAACACAAGCCATAGGACTTCCTTGGATTAATTTCTGTTTCAAGTCCAATAGCTGAGGTTGAACTAGAGTGTATCTTTTAGAAAAACATCCAGTCTTGGTTTAAAATGTCCAGTGATTGAGACTCTACCACAGCCATTGATGGGTTGTTCCAATAGTCAGTTACCCCCACTGTTTAAAAAACACAAAAAAAGGAAAAATTGTGCATTTCTAGTCTGTCTAGCTTTAACTTCCAACCATTGGATCTTATTATACCTTTCTCTGCTATACTGAAGAGCCTTCTATTGTCATATTCCTGTTCCCCATGTCGATGAACAAATCAACCTGTAACCTTCTCTTTGATGAGCTAAGTAGATTGAGTTCCTTGAGTGTCTCACTATAAGGCACTTTAATCATTCTCTTGGCTCTTCTCTGAACTCTCTCCAATTTATTAACATCCTTGTGAATTGTGAACACTAGAATGGAACACAATTTTCCAGTAGCTGTCACACCAGTGCCAAACACAGAGGTAAAATAACCTCTTCACTCCCACTTTAATATTCCCTTGTTTATATTTCCACGGATCACATTTGCCCTTTTAGCCACAGCATTGCACTAGTAGCTCATGTTCAGCTGATTATCAACCATTATTGCCAAGTCTTTTTCAGAGTCTCTGCTTCCCAGGATAGAGTCCCCTATCCTGTAAGTACCCACTTACCGAATGATCCAGATTGCTCTATATCTCTGACCTGTCCTCTTCATTATTGACCATTCCCTCTGTCTTTGTGTCACTGCAAGCTTTGTCAGTCATGATTTTATTTTCTGTGAGGTCATTCATAAAAGTGTCTAATAGTACAGGGCCAAGAACTGATCCCTACGGGAGACCTCTCTAGAAACATACCTGCTTGAGGATGATTCCCAATTTACAATTACATTTTTGAAACTTATCAGCCAGGTTTTAGTACATTTACTGGTGATTTTGTATCATTCTGGTTTCTTAATTAAAATATTGTGTGGTACCAAGTCACATGCCTTACAGAAGTATGTGTATTATTACATCAACACTGTTACCTTTATGAACCAAACTTATAATCTCATAAAAAAGACATCTATTTCCCATAAATGCATGTTGATTGCCATTAATTATAGTATCCTCCTTTAATTCTTTATTAATCGAGTTCCATATCAGCCACTCCATTATGTTGCTAGTTTGAAAGAGGACTAATTAATCGGCAACGTTTCGGGAGACGGTATATTTGGATGTACATTAGGATCGTGGGGGTGTACAAGACAGAAAAGGACATATTTGTTGGAGGTTTTTCAAAATTGGGGGGAGGGGGAGGGAGTTCAGTCCTGGGTCTTTAAGGCCTCTGAAGCCCACCAGAGGTGGAGGTTGCTAGGCAGTTGCTAGGCTACAACAGCCTGATATTCTTTCCATACAGGAAGGACCCAAAACTAGTATCTATAGATGAGGATATGAGGACTCAAGAAAGGTAGAGCTTTCAACACAGGACTGAATGTCAGGAAATTCCAACTTTGTCACCGACTCACTGTGCCCCAGGGCAAGTCACTTAACTTCTCTGTACCTTGAATTCCTTACCTGTGAATGGGGATGATATTTCCTGACCTCCCAGGGGGGTTGTGAGGCTTATTGCTGGGCGCTTTGAAGAAGAAAAGAGCCTAAGCATTATTATAATGTGAGAGTACATGATGAGGCCTTACAGGAGAAGGTACTTGTGCCTTAGGAAGTTCCTTTCTGTAGAGTGAATATTTTCTTGTGCTTCCTGTTGCCTCTGACTTTGTTCTGGTTTCTACTGTTCAGGCTGACAACTGAGGAGGTGAATTCTGTAGAAGCAGATACCACCAACCGCTGGCAAGGAGTCTGTGTCAGCAGGGCATCACCCACTCCCTCAGAGTCTGCAGCTACTGTCAAGTCACTCATCAAGTCATTTGACTTGGGATGCTCAGGTACTCCAGCCCTGCACTCTGGGATAGGATAGTTTTTCTTTTTTAATTAAAATTTCAAATAGTTAAGCTTCAACTGGCAAACACTAATTCTTCTTACATCTGCTGCCTCCATCTTGCATCCCAGTGGATATTGGTTTTAGCAGTGCTACAGAACATAAGAACTGCCAGACGGGGTCAGACCAATGGTCCATCTAGCTCAGTATCCTGTCTTCAAACAGTGACTAGTGCCAGCTGCTTCAGAGGGAATGAAGAGAACAGGATAATTTTGAGTGATTCATCCCCTGTTGTCCAGTCCCAGTTTCTGGCAGTTGGAGTTTTAAGGACACCTGGCACGTGTGGTAGCGTCCTTCACCATCTTGTCTAATAGCCATTGATGGACCATCGTCCATGAATTTATCTAATTCTTTTTTGAACCCAGTTACACTTTTGGCCTTCACAACATCCCCTGGTTGACTGTGCATTGTGTGAAGTAGTCCTTTCTTACATTTGTTTTAAACCAGTTGCCTATTAATTTAATTGGGTGACTTGGTTCTCGTGTTATGTGAAGCAATAAATAACACTTCCCTATTCACTCTTTCCACACCATTCATGATTTTGTAGACCTCTATCATGCTCCCCTCCCCCAGTCACCTCTTCTAAGGTTTTCTCCAACTGATGCTAAAGTACATAGAAATGGACTGAATGCCATCAGGTCCTTGTTCAGACATGAGTGGTGGGAGAGGAGGGGGAAAAGAACATTGTGACCTCTTCTTTCAGACTGGTCTGAAATATAAATGTTTCTTTCCCTTCTTGCAGGGAGCACTGGGCAGAGTATCACAGTTCACAAGGTCCCCAGAAGCCCTCTGAGTGGAATTCCAGTGAGGACAGCCCCAGCAGCCGCTGTCTCCCCGATGCAGGTACCAGAAGACCTTTCCTCTATTCAGGATTGGGCTGGGTAGTTGCAGGGTTTCCTGCACCATGACATGGCTGTAGCCAGGGAAAGGGGAAATGCATGTGTTTATTTTCTGTGGAAGATCAAATGCTGGAGTTCTAACGGAGTACAGGGATCAAAGTGAGCTCCTGTTTTATCTCCTGGATGAAGGTCCCCCGGGGCGGGTGTGAACTCTTTTTGGAATCCACTTCAGAATTTTAATCAGCATTGACCAGGAAAGTAGGTTTTGATCATTTAGAGTGAGTTAAGATGAACCTCAAACTCAACCAGGTATTTAGCATGTGTGTTAGGGAAGGGTAGTGAGAAGAAAAATGGTAAATGTTCCTGAGGCAGTATGCCCCAAGATACCAAATCAGCCTGTAGCTATTCAGGGCTGATGATGGTTGCTATGTTTTGATTTTTCTCCCAGAATGTAACTCTTCTGGAATGTGGTGCTTCTGATGTCCCTGCATCAGCCAATTAACATTCTGTTGGTAACTTTCAGTGCTGTGATGTGACATTACCAGAAATACTGACTCTGGGAATGATGGGAAAGCAGACACAGTGGCATTTCACTGATTATGGTGGTAGCATGCATACCATATTATCACTAGCCTCTATCACTATATGCTATCTGTCCACTCGCATCATTTGCCTTTTTGGACCTGTTTGGCCAGTCATTGTTCTAGGCACAGAAATAGTCCTGAAAGCTCTCCTGGGAGCATGTAAAGCATTTAGAGATCTCTAGTGGGCACTTGTAGAGACGACTTTAGGAACTGGCTCTTTACCAAGTAGTGAATGCAGAACAAGTATAAAATTATCCACCTCAAGCCAGTTAGCCCCACTTTTACCAACCAAGTGAAGTCCATCAGCTTTGCCCAGCCCAAGAAGAGATAGAATGTGCCCTTGAGAATTGGATAAGGCCTGGTATTGTGTACTTACTTGAAATGATGCTGCCTCTGGCGGGACACTTCTGAGAGTATCAATTCAAGACAATTTGCTTAGAGCAGGGCAGTTATAGCCCAAGGTTGGGCTTTTTCCACTTTTAAGGCACGGCAAACCAGCCAGACAGAGAGGACTTTGGTTTTACCCCACTGGCTAACCATAAGTCATACAAGCAATTCCCTTAGACACTCCAGTTTCCCAGTATCACTGCCAGTGCCACTTGTTATGGGAATGAATGGTTATGAAAACCAATACCCCAGTAAAAGAAAAAAGGTTATTTACTTATTCCCATAATACAAGAACTAGGGGTCATCAAATGAAATTAATAGGCAGCAGGTTTAAAACAAATAAAAGGAAGTTCTTCTTCACGCAGCGCACAGTCAACTTGTGCAACTCCTTACCTGAGAAGATTGTGAAGGCTAGGACTATAACAGAGTTTAAAAGAGAACTGGATAAATTCATGGTGGTTAAGTCCATTAATGGCTATTAGCCAGGACAGGTAAGGAATGGTGTCCCTAGCCTCTGTCTGACAGAGGATGGAGATGGATGGCAGGAGAGAGATCACTTGATCATTGCCTGTTAGGTTCACTCCCTCTGGGGCACCTGGCATTGGCCACTGTCGGTAGACAGGATACTGGGCTAAATGGACCTTTGGTCTGACCCGGTACGACCTTTCTTATGTAAGGTTCTCCCGATCCCAAAGGACCAAGCCCCAGACCCAGGTCAATATATAAATCAGATCTTACCCACAAATCACGCTGTTGCCAATCCTTTAGAATCTAAAGGTTTATTCATAAAAGGAAAGAAATATATATGAGAGCTAAAGTTGGTTAAATGGAATCAATTACATAGAGTAATGGTCAAGTTCTTGGTTCAGGCTTGTAGCAGTGACGGAATAAACTGCAGGTTCAAATCAAGTCTCTGGAATACATCCACAGCTGGGATGGGTCATTCAGGCCTTTGTTCAGAGCTTCAGTTTGTAGCAAGGTTCCTCCAGTGGTCAGAAGCAGGATTGAAGACAAAATGGAGGCATTTCCATGGCCTTTTATATTCTCTCCCTGTGGAAAGACACCCCTTTGTTCTGACTGTGGAAAATCACAGCAAGATGGAGTTTGGAGTCACATGGGCAAGTCACATGTCCATGCATGACTCAGTTATTTACAGGCAGACACCATTGTTTACATGTTAGTTTGAACATTCCCGGAAAGCTTAGATGTGGATTGGCATCTGCCAAAGTTCATTGTCAGTTAAGTGTGTCTTGATTGGGCGCTTCCTGAGAATAGTCCCTTCTCAAGAAGCTGCCCAAATGCTTCACTGAGGCTACGTAGAATCAAAACACATTGAGGTACAAGTACATAGCCAATATTCATAATTTCAACTACAAAAATGATACACACATACAGATAGCAGCAGCATCATCACCAGCAAATCATAACCTCTTTATAGACACCTCACATGACAACCTTTGTACAATAATTGCTGCAAATATATAACAGTGGTTGCAGCAATGATCTATTCTATACGGTCACAGTTTGTCAATAACGTCACACTACTCTCTTGCCTTCCCATACAGAGTAGATTATTTTCCATACCCTATAGGACCATGACTGTGGTGTTTGGTGTTTGTTGTCTACACAGACTATGCAAGGTTAAATTAGCTCAGGCACCAGGCTTGAATACTGGCAGGTCTCCTGCAAACATAGCCACAAAGAAATCAAGGCCTATGTCTCACAAACTGGAGTGCTTTGACTAATTGTTATAAAAGACGGTTTCTCTGGTGACAAAGATCCTCTTCTCTCCTTTCTGCCTGCAGTCATTTCTCAGGAAATTGGAGCTTGTTTTCTGTCATCTGGCCCTGCTGGTGATTATATAAAAAAAACAGAAAGAAACTGAGATGGTCTTCTAGGTTGACCCAGCAGGGATATGTTTACTGGAAATCATGACCCAATAACAAAAAAGGGGCTAAATTATACAAGTAATCCCTATCCCCCTCCCTCTCTCTGTCTATCCGTTGGTCTCTGTCTCTCTCTTTCTGTTGGTCTTAGCTTGAAATTCATGTATCTAGAAACTCAGGAATGTAAGCTCTGCCACATCAAATAGGTCCATCTGTTTCAATATCCAACCTCTAGCAGGAGACCTAGGCCTGATGCTTCGGAGAAAGGTGAAACCCCCTCCCCATTATGTGCCTGGCCAATTATATAATGTTGTGCATGTGGAAGAAAAATGGGAATTTCTTCCTGACCCCTGTACTGATTTTCTGGCACCAGAAAGCATGAGGTTTGATAACCTTTGCATAACTACAGATGTTATTGAACCTGTATTTTATATCTGTGTGGGCTAAGAAGAAAGCGCAGCAAGGATGTGAGAATCTAAACTCATCATGGAGAAGCTCTGAGAACTCCCAATGACTTCACTGAGGGATCTGACTTATTTACACATACTGGAGAGATGTGTATCAGATAGATACTAGTTGGGTCATCTGGTGAGTTAGAGCCCTCCTTTATTGAGCTGTCTTTGTTTCTCAGTTTCACTGGACTCTGAACTGCAACAACCCTTTAATTCCTTGAATCTCAATTCATATCTTGGCTACTTCCAGGACAAGAGTGACGTTTTCAGAGTGTGACAGTGTCTTTGATCTGTGAGAAAAGGTCAGAACTAAACTGTCCATGCCAGAGCTGAGAGGTGCTGAGCACCTGCAGCGTCTGTTAAAAGACGGAGTAAGGACTTCAGGATTTGACTATTCCTTCGGATTCTAAAGTCTATTAAAGTTTTCCTCTTATTATGATTGAGGACAGCAGCAAAGTGAGAGAAGGGCAGCTAAGACGCAGGATGGCAAATGCCTAAGTGCTCCTAGAACTCAACCCTGAAAGCAGGCAGTTCTAAAGGCCCATTGCCGAAAGATGCTGAGCACCCTCAATTCCCAGTGAAGGAAATTAAGAGTGGGATTAAACAGATGTCCTGGCAGGTTCTATCGATGCCAGGCTGAGTGGGCAGTGCTGAAAGCTGGCAGCAGGCCTGCCAGTGAAAAAGCCCTTTTGTGTCTGGTTCATCAAGTTAGAGGTGAAGGAGGAGGGGCTGGGAGCAGCAGATGCTGTCACTTCGGGTCTGCAGCACCAAATGATCTCTGACACTTGCTTACCAAAAGGAAAATCTTTGGAAAAAAGGGTCTGTCGACACAGCATTTTGGAGCCCGTGTGAGCAAGCTCCCAGCCAGGGTCGACAGATTCAGGCTAGCAGAGCTCGCAGTAGCGCTCTAGAAATAGCTGTAGGGTCAGTGGCTTGAAGTTGCAGCTTGGGTTCTGAAGCCTCAGGAGAGGGAGGGCTGCAACTTCAAACCACTGTCTCTGCAGCTATATTTAAAGCGCTACTGCGAGCCCTGCTGGCCTGAATCTGTCGACCCTGGCTCGCTTCTTTGGGCTCCAAAGTGCTAGCCGCACCCACAGAGACTGCAAGTGTTTGGGAGCCAAATAGATCACTAACTGAAAAGTAATTTCCCTGGATCCTCTACTTTAATTTTTAATGTCCAAATGATTGAAGGGCCGCTCTGGGGGTAGAAGTAGGGATCCTCCAGACTGCTCATCGTCCAGGAGACAGACCTTTCTCCCAGGGCAGTGTGAGATTGTGGAATGAACTCCCACAGGAACCAAGGGCCATCCCAGACCTTACCCCTTTGTACTCCAAGTGCAAGGCACATTTCTTTGACCTTGCCTTCTCTAACATAAACACATAGCAAAAGGTATATTTATATTAAATACAAAATAAGACACACCCTGCCAAAACAAGACACTCCACAGCTCATGTTTCTCCTCCTGGGGGGAGAATGAGAGAACAAAGAACTCATGACAGATGTTAGTCACGTTGCTTAATCCACTGCTGGAAGGTGCTTGGGTACTACAGTGAGGAGCATGGTATAAGCTGCTGAATAGAACAGAATACCTCTCATTCTCCCACGTGAGTGAATGAGGCCTCTTCCTCTCCCTGATTGGCCATTTATCTAAGGGTAACATTTCCTGATGGATTTGTCTGTTTGCTTGTTTCACAGAGGCATACTGCTTACAGTAATGCAAAGCTGCTCAGCAAAGGAGTCGACAAACACACAGACCTTCCAGACCTCCCCCTTGCAGGTAAATCACAGTAAAAGCACAAAGAATATAAGAGGCTCCTTTTTGCTTCCCCTCCATCAGCACAGCTCTTCTCTGTCCTTCCCCACACCACTGGGCCATTCTTCCACTTCATATGTGCAACAAAATGAAATAGACAAGATCTTCAAAATGCCTGAACATCTGAGAGATCTTATCAAGTTCACTTGGCTGTTTCACTCCCATGTGGATTATAGCCTGGGGGGAAATGGTATGTCATGCCAACACAAACCTGCCCTCTTCACCCCCAAAACATCCCTGGCACCTTCATAATCCAGCCAGTGAAACTGGAGATAATTGCATTTTGTGAAGCATGTACGGATTTGGGAGAAGTCCAGAGCATGCCCTTTGGAGGTTGGTTGGTTGGTTTGTTTAAAAATTATGTTTCAGATGAAACACATTAAATGGTTTCAGATCCAGATGCAGCTATTTAGAGCCCAGATATGATTGCTCTTTAAACAGAATCAATTTCCCCAGTTCTCAGGAGATGCGATTGTTGTTGTTTCGTGCTCTTGTTTTTGTTCTCCTGTCACTTAATATTCTTTTCCACCAGTATTTACTTTTGATTCCTCCATTAGAGCCCCTTGTCTTGATTGTCTACTCCTGATTGGAGGTGTTGCAGCAGTATCTATAGCAATAGCCATAGATTAATAGACTTTAAGGTCAGAAGGGACCGTTATGACCTTGTCCTTTGAGGAGTGGAAACCTGATTTCTGCCCTTTCACTGGTAGACCTGATTTTCTGACTAGTACTCAGTTAGCTCTAGGAGTGTGTCCACTCGGGCTCATGGGTCTCCGGCTGCAGGGCTGTTTCATTGCTGTGTGGACGTGGAGTCTGAGCTCTAGCTCCGTCGCAGGCTCCAACAGCCCTGGCTCTAGCCTGAGTTCCAGCTAATTTTTCCCACTCGGGTGCGGAATTAATGTTATGTGCACCAATGTGGAGGTGATGTGTCACACATCACCTCCACAATGATGCACACAACAAAATTCATGTGGTGGGGATGGGGGAGGGGGCTCAGGACTGGGGCAGAGGGCTGGGGTGGGGTGAGAGCTCCGGCTGAGGGTGTGGGCTCTGGGGTGAGGCCGGGGATGAGGGGTTTGGGGTGCAGACTGTGACGGGGGAGAGAACTCTCCCCAGCTACCTCTTCCCGCAGCAGCTCCAGAGCTGGGGCTGCAGGATAGGTGCCTCTCCCATGGCTGCAGCAGGACTGGCCAGGGCTGGGTTGGGGCCGGGGCGAGGGGCACCTCTCCCCAGCTGTGGCAAGTCCAGGCCAGGGGCCGCGGCGGGGCTGGGTTGGGGCCGGGGCTGGGGGAGAGGAATCTCTCCCCACTGCAGCCCTGAGCGCCTGTATGGTGCATAATAGGCTGCTATGCGGCGCACGGCCACCCAGTTTAGGGGGAACTTAGCTGCCCAGCGATGAAACAGCCCCACAAGCCTGAGTTGGTTGCCACAGGCCAGCCACAGCTGTCTAGTTGCTGTGTAGACATACCCACAGAGAGAAACTAGAGCCCTGTCTTCATTGTCAGACTCTTCAAATAGCCAGTTAAGATTCCAAATTCACAATTCAAAGATGTACAAATACTGTAGCTGAACAACAAGCCAGGTTACAAGGAATATGGCAGCACAAGTTAACTTCAGAGCTCTGTTCCTCCTGCTGGTTTCTCCTGCCATGCAGATGACTAGAGGGCAGAAGATACGATACCAATGGAAGGAACAGTTTTTTCCTTAAAGTTACACCGACTGTGTTTCAGTTTCTAGAAAATGTCTTGCCTGGGGGTTTACCTGCTGCTCATCATTACAGAAGTTCACTTTCACCTCAACCCGTTATACTGAAACTAAACACCAGTCCTTGAAAATAAATGCATTCCCCATCCATAGCGAGCCACTGTATTTTATAAACTGGTTGTTTCTCCTTTAAAATGTCCATTTGAGCTGAAATTTCTTGAGTAGGGCAGTTGACAGCTGACCACTCCCAAAGCACCCATAAGCCATTGCTTCCCTCCTGCAAAGCCAGAAAGCACTGGGGGAAGGTGACTGCTGGCACCCTGCAGGACAGATGACTTACTCTCTTAGCCATCTCCAAGCCAGTGGCATCAAATGAGAACTGAGCGGAGCTGAGCTGTCATGAGACCACAGCAGGAGCTGGAGGGGTAGAGGGAAAGAACACATGGAATTCATGATGGGAACCTGACCAAAGACGCAACAGCAGCTTTGAGTAATGTGTTACTTCTGTTGTTTGAAGGCAACACCTCCAGGCTGCAGTGTCATGCAAGGAGGAATCTGCTGGGAGCTTGCTCAGTATGGGTCAGAGCATTCCAAGCACAGCTGTGCATGCTGAAATGCTGCTTCTAAAAACACTCAGCTCAGTGCGGATGAGAGGGGTCTCTTAGCAACTTCAGTGTGAACTCTTGCCAAGGTTGCACTGTCATTGACTTGTCCTGTCGTGTCTGGGATTGCTATGAGCTGAGGAGGTGATGCACACAGTACCATAGCCACCACTGATGGACACCCGAGGGGCCCATCTTTTATACGCTTTGGCAACACTTGTCTAGCTTGTTGTGCCAGTAAAAGCCTTGAGCTGAGCTGAGGTTTTGCCATGCCAAGGCACAACAGGGTGAGCCTCCGCTTTAACTCTCCGTGTGCCTTTCTTTCCTCTGACCTTATTGAAACATCAGTGTTAGTATTGCCCACGAATTCTCAGATTCTGGCCCTCTGCTGATGCAACTCAGCAGTCTCTAGCCACCGTATCAGAGCACTTGAGAACGAGTCAAGTAGAACCCAAAGAGGAAAGGAACATTTTAAGTTGAGACTGAAAGATCACAAAGGAGTTGGTAATTCTCAGGGTGAGACGGGCAATACTCAACCACTTGAGTGACTCCCCAACCATGCAGAGTGGGACATGGTAGAGAGAAAGCGGAGAGAGTAGTGGTGGAGGAAATGAACATGCGGTAATGCGGGTGGCTGGAGTGAATATTGGCCCCTTCTTCAAAAGCTCAGTGTTCTTGATGCTGTACTTCAAACACTCCCTTCCCTCTGACTCCTATTTCTGTTTTATCTTCTCCCAGCAAGGCACAGGGCTTGTCCACACAAACAGATCAACCAGCATAACTATTGTGGAAGAAGCTATTCTGCTCTAGCTGTGACCAACTGACTCCCTGTGTGGACGCTCTATCCCGTAATAAAGTTACTTTGCTTTGCTGTTACGCTAAAGCTATGCCAGTCAATTGCCCCATGTACACAGTTCCTTACTGGAGAGGTTTATAGCTTTCTTCTGTGTAAAAGACCCATTACCTTAATTGAGGAGATAAACACTTTGGTTGCAAAGTGGGAGACCGCAAGTGGCTGCAGCACTGAGTAAATCGCCAGTAATGATCCACCTCACTCCTGCCCTGGCAGATATTTATCAGGGGAACTGTTTACTGTAACAACAAAGAATTAGGGTCTGGACTCCATGCTGTTTGTCTAGCTTTGCTAATGAGCTTTGATAGAGTAATAGGAGTTTCAAGACCTCTGCAGAGCAAGGATTAATGACTTGCATCGTTATTTCCCATTTTGAATGAGAAAATGTAAAATCTTTCCCTCTGAACCTCTACGGCCCCAACTGATAGGCTGCCCTCTACTGACCCAGCACTGGAGCCCCGTGGCCCCCCCCCTCAACTGTCCTTTGACCAGTGCCTTGGGGGCATTGAACCTGACTGGCTGTGGCTGTGGTTCTGTTTCTGGAAGTTCCATCTTCAGGAGGTGGAACTTCCAGAAGAACAATGCAAATGGGCTCTTGTTTCTACCTCTCTGGGCACCCAGTAGGCCTGGGGAATTAGTTTCAGCTAGTGCTGAAGTTGAGGGGAGAATGAGTGGACACTGTACAGTTGTTAATTTATTAATAAATATGGGCCGCAGGAACAAGAGACGGGAAGCAGTTATGCTGAACCCAGGTCATCCATCTCTAAAGCTAGATTTAAGCTCTCTGTGAATTTAGTGCTGGTAAGGTAGTCTCACTTTGTACACAGAAGAGGGACAGTTCAGCAACCATTGTGTAAGCTTTCCCTGTATTGCTCCCCAGTACAACACGCCTTGTGCTTGATGTCTAGAGAGAGAGGAGTTTAAGCTTTTGCCTCTCAGCAGAGACTGTCACCACGGGGTTGCGTTCGCGTGCTCTGCTGTGATGTGGTGTTAGCCATTATGGTATGGGCACTTGTCTGCTAGTAAACGGGCTGCAACTTGCCAAATTCCTTTCAGGCAGGATGCCAGCCACTGGGTAGTTACTAGAGGGTGTTGCTGCCACCCTGGGCTGGATTTGAACCAGCAGCCTGGAGGCGAAAGACTTGTCTCATTTCCAGTCCTGTTAATGGCAGGTTAACAAAGAGTCTGACAGCGAGCTGGTCCCTTCAGTCATCTAGTGAACATGTCTAGGGATCAACTTTTGAACCTTTAAGATGGTAGATTTTTGGTATTTCCCTTCATTCACCTGAGGCCCCCACCCCCCAGCAGGACTATCAATCACAGGAAGCCAAGCAGCCTGTACTGTTGAAATCATCAAAGTCCTTGCTTGTTATGGTCCCCTCTAGTCTGGTCAAGGTTTCCTAACCCCATGTCCGTTTAATGAACAACGGAGTATGTTTGTTTAGAATCAAAGCAACAAGCTACATATTGTTGTGTGCTGCTTGGTAGGGCAGTGATTAATCAGATTCCTCAAGCCCAGAGACTGATGGCTTTTTCTGTTCCCACAGACCTTCTAAAAGGGAGAAGTGAGGACCTGAAACCAGACCATTACCTCCGCAAGAGCCCTTCCCTGGAGTCTCTGAGCAAACCCCCCTCAATGGCCTTCAGCAGCAGGCTGCTGACCTCCAGCCCAAGCAGCCTGAAACCCCCCAGCAAACTCAGGTACCAACTCAGTGGAAAAAAAGCAATGTACTGGGCCGAGCCACCATTTTAGTTGGCAACCTGATGACTGTTCAATTCCGTGGTTCCCAGTCTCTGTGGGTCTCCCATACGGGAAGTGGGCAGGGATGGCAAACGGAGGACTAGCACTGATGTTTATTGTTAAGGAACAGGAATCCACAATGGCACTCACCGTTATATACCAGTATTGGTACAGGCACTATTGTTGTGGTACAGCTTTCGTTGTATCTGTAAATGAAATCTAACAGAGAGAGTTTGAGATACGAGAGGAAACCAAAGTATTAATTCTAGCCCATACTGTATGTCTGCACTGGAAAAATGTATACATTTTTCTGCAAGTGCTATTAATAGTGGAAGCTTTTAGGGCAGACACGTGCAAGTGTTTTGACCCTGCTCTGTGCCTTTGCCTTGTTTGCAGTACAGTTTCCATGGTAGCTAGCACCAGTGCAGAAAAATGCATGCAGATTTTCCCATTTTAGTCAAGACTTTATTCTGCAGTGGTATTCTGCAGTTGGGAATGAGTTTGCTGCACCAGAATAATTAGGTAACTTCTATCCATGGTGTCAAGTATCAGGGGGTAGCACCGCCAGACTCCTCGTTGTTTCTATCCATGGTTTACCCTAAAGCCCCAGTTTTAGAGGTGCATTGATAGAGGTTCATTGAAAATTTGCCTTTTGATGTCTGAAGAGGGAGGTGAAAGGGAGTGAAGGATGATAATTGCAGCTGTAGAAAAAGTAGATCAAAGATATGCATTCCTTTAGATATGTTCTACTGAGTGCTTCCCAAATACATTTTTATCCTAGGCTTTGTTTCAGTTTGTATCCAGTGATCCCAAATTCATTTGTGTCTCAGATCTAAACACACATATGGAATATCTTTTGAGGCAATTGTAATAAGTTGTTTGCATTCTCCCACTGAGAATGTATTGTGCTACCCTGGTTTACGTGCATGTAATGTCTAAAGTGAAAGAGAGGAGCTGCTTGAAACATATTTACTTCCTTCCCCTCCCCCCAATTAGTGTGGAGAGAAAGGACCCATTAGCAGCCCTGGCCCGAGAGTATGGCGGCTCCAAGAGGAATGCACTGCTGAAGTGGTGTCAGAAGAAGACTGAAGGTTACTCGGTAAGAAGACACATGCATTTAATTTTTCATTGGCTTGTACTGTGAACAGATATCATTTCAAGGAAATGTATGTATTGCAATCTGCAGATTTTTCACTGTTGTCCCTCACACTGGGTATTTTCCATCCACCTTCTTGTCTACGGCTCTCTCTAACCCTCATGTCCCCAAAGTTACCTTTGGGTTAAGTGACTCGGTTTACTTCCCATCATATGCTGAAATATTTGCTTCATCCAAATGTCACTGAAGGTCAGCAGTAGAGGGTATGTGAGCGGCAGCTTTAAGCTGAGGGCATATGTCTCAAACGCCATCTTAATGTCTTTTCCTTGGATTTCCTCTCTGAGCTCTCAGAAGATGCCACTTCTTATGACCGTTCTAGGAAACCAAAAAGACATTGCCCGTGGTGGCCTTGATCAAGAGGGTCCTGCTGTCTCCCTGATGGCCCCAGTAATTTTCCTCTTGACTGTGGTCAGCAAAAGCTCAGTAGCACTGGAGGAAGTGTTGCTATGTCATATTATAATTGGCTTTATGCCCAACAGTCCTGTTATTGGCTCAAACAAATGTAGAGAGAATGGACTTGAAAGCTTTGATCCTGATACTTACGTGTTTCTGAGGGAGCTGGATAAAAGGCTGATAATGGAATGAATCCCAAAGAACTGCTGCTTTTCCCTTGAGTGTTGTGTAAAGTGCAGTGTAGTACTAACTGTACAGCAATGGCCAGCTTCTTTTGAATGAAACGCAGCTTGTGCAGCGATTGTCCAGGTAGCTGCCAATTCTGAGTTTCTAAAACATGTTCTATAAAGACAGTATGAACAGAAAGCTTTGATTGGATGGCCAAGGTTCTGTCCATGCAGGTTCCTGGGTGTATTCACACTGGTCTAGAGCCATCACCTCATTGTTGAAATGCACCATGTCCATGAATCATCTTGCAAATGCTGTTTGTACTGGTTATGTGAGCCTCTTTCTGATGAGACCTTACAAGCTGAAGGCCTCTGTGATCTGGCTGGATACCATGGCAATGTTGTGATACAGAAGTAGGGATTTGCCCTCCGGTCCTACCCAGAATTCCCCCCTCTTCCTATGCGGTGCAGTGTGCTATGCTCAGGTTGGCTGCTGCCCTTCATTGATTGGGTGGCTGCAGGTCATTGTCTCGGTGTGTAGCCTGTGAAGCACTTTGGGATGAAAGATGCTATAGAAATGTAAGATGTTTTTAATTACCCTGAATACCATGTAGCTTAGGAACTATTTAAAAAGGTAAATGAGATGACCTGGGTCAGGGCCGGCTCCAGCTTTTTTGCCGCCCCAAACTCAATCGTGCTGCTCCATTCTTCGACAGCAATTCAGCGGCGGGTCTTTCGATCCCTCTCTTCCAATTCGGCGGCAGCTCAAAGAGGAAGAGAGGGATTGAGGGACCCGCCGCTGAATTGCTGCCGAAGACCCGGACATGCCGCCCCTTTCCATTGGCCGCCCCAAACACCTGCTTCCTTCACTGGTGCCTGGAGCCGGCCCTGACCTGGGTAATTTAGGCTTGTCTGTCTGACATCGATTCCAGGCAAGATAATAGAGAAGCTGATACAGGACTTGATTATTAAAGAATTAAAGGAGGATAATATAATTAATGCCAATCAACATGGGTTTATAGAAAATAGTTTGTGTCAAAACTAATTTGATATCTGTTTTTGATGAGATTATAAAATTGGTTGATAAAGGTAATAGTGTTGATATAATTTACTTGGACTTCAGTAAGGTGGTTGACTTGATACTGCATGACATTTTGATTAAAAATATAGAATGAAATAAAACTAACATGGCACATATTAAATAGATTAAAAGCTGGTTACCTGGTAGGTTTCAAAATGTAATTGTAAATAGAGAATCATCAGCAAGTATGTGCGCTTCTAGTGAGGTCCCACAGGGATTAGTTCTTGGCCCTACGCTATTTAACATTTTATCAATGACCTGGAAGAAAACGTAAAATCATTGCTGATAAAGTTTGCAGATGACACACAAATTGAGGGAGTGGTCTATAACAAAGAGGACTGATAGAGAGCGATTTGGATTGCTTGTTAAGCTGGACACAAGCAAGCAATATGCATTTTAATACAGCTAAATGTAAATCTATCCATCTAGGAACAAAGACTGTAGGCCATACTTTACAGGTTGGAGGACTCTATCCTGGGAAGCAGTGATTCTGAAAAAAGATGTGGGGGTTGTGGTGGATAATCAGGTGAACATGAGCTCCCTGTTTGACACTGTGGCCAAAAGGGATAATGCAATCCTGGGATGCATAAACGGGAATCTCGAGTAGGAGCAGAGAGGTTATTTTACCTCTGTATTTGGCCCGGATACAGTAGCTCCTGGAATACTGTGTCCAGTTCTGGTGTCCACAATTCAAGAAAAATTGGAGAGTGTTCAGAGAAGAGCCATAAGAATGATTAAAGCATTGGAGAATGAGAGCCTCAAGGAACTCAGTCTGCTTACCTTAACAAAGAGAAGATTAAGAAGCAATTTGATCACAGTCAATAAGTACCTACATGAGGAACAAATATTTGATAATGGGCTCTTCAGTCTAGCAGACAAAGGTATAACATGATCCAAAGGGTGGAAGCTGAAGCTAGCCAAATTCAGACTAGAAACAAGACACCAGTTTTTAACAGTGAAGGTAACTAACCATTGGAACAATTTTTCCATTACTGGCCAATTTTAAGTCAAGATCAGCTGTTTTTTTCGGTAAAGATCTGCTCTAGGAGTTATTTTGGGGAAGTTTTCTGGCCTATGTTATACAGGAGGTCAGACTAGATTATCACAGTGGTCCCTTCTGGCCTTGGACTCTATGAACCTGTGGTTGTCTACACTGCATACTACTGGCAGTGATGTGTAGGGTATGTGTAACTACATGCCATGAAACGCAAGCTGCAGCCACACTGTGATGTGTAGCTACACACATCAGCGAAAGGCTCTGGTTGGGGGACGCATCAGGGAAAGGCTCTGGCAGCAGGGGGAGCTTCTGGAGCCTTTCTCTGCCGCCTCCCTCACTGCCAGAGCCTTTCACTGCGGCAGGGAGCTGCTGGAGCTTTTCCCTGCTGCCTCTCCAATGCCAGAGACTTTTCCTGTGGCAGGGAAAGGCTCCGGCAGTGGAGAGGCAGCAGAATGCTGCAGAATGCTGCACTGCTAAAATCAGGTATATAGACAAGGGAGGCACTGCTTGGGTATTTAGAGAACCGTGTAGCGTACATACCCACAGGATTCAAGCCAGTCTTTACACTTCTTGCCTAAGCAGTGCCTCCCATCTACTGTGTTTGGGGGGCATGCAGCTCAGGTACTCTACATGCCCCGTCAGGAGCGTGCAGTGGAGACGTACCCTACTAAACTATTCTACCACCTGCTATTTTGTAATCACTTTATAAACTGTGGCACATTCTAGTTCCTTATCACATTCATTCTCTCTGCCATTACAGAAAAATCCCAGCATGGAATAAGTGGGTTTATGTGGGATGTTAACTTCCACAAACTAGGGAACTTCCTCATACGTTGCAACATGTCTCCTCTTATGTGACAGTTGGAGTTGTGTGCAAAACCCAAGCTAATGCTTGTACTGAAAGAAAATGAGGACAGACTTGCCACTTCTGTCCAAGTGAGAGCAAGCCCAAGGAATTGACTTGCTGAGCAGAGAATGGCATGTTTCCCTCCATGCTTTCTGTGTCATTACCAGCGTTTGGTTCCAATATTAGAGAATTATGCAGTGAAGGCATTAAAGCTTAGCAACTGGTTCTGACCTACCACTATTGTATCATTGCTCGTAACGTTTCAGAAGTGGGGCATGATAAACCTTCGTCCCAAGCAAGAGCGGTTTGTGTTTGACAGAGACAAGCCAGGGCTTTGGCTGTGCTTCTAGCTGAACTTTTGGACTGTAGTAGGCATTTAGAACAAGAGGAATTGTTGTCTGTACACTCTGTGTGTGTGTGTGTGTGTGTGTGTGTGTGTGTGTGTGTGTGTG